GAATGGAGATTTTACAGTATCCTTCCCTTGCCACACCCACCAAGCCACGCCCACAGAACCGATAGTAATTTTTTTTGAATCCCATCACTGACCAGTTGTCAAGTTTCTGAATTTTGATCACATGATCATGGAATGCTGCAAAGGTCATAACTGTAACAAAATGGACATAAATCACTTCAGTGCTATTGTAACCTTGAATGGTCATTAAACAAGGACTATCTGTATAACAAAACTCACTTTTTCTAACTTTTAACAAAACTCTCCTATTTATACGCACAGTGTCACTTTGTGGATTGATATCAACCTATCTTGATATCAAGCTATTTGTCTATATTTAGAGTTACACTGAAATTTGCTATATGTTGATTTATTTGATATTCTGCTTGCCTAGAATTCTCAAGATACTAAATTATTACTATTCTTTGCATTTTATTTAACACTTTATTGTTAAATGATGCTTTTATCATGCAGATTTAGTATATTTGAACTAAAAACTACATATAGATTTAATCAAAATAGAAACAATAATTTCACACAATGCTATTTACATAACATTCATATACCAAAGATAGAATAAATATATACCATTGTCTTTTTCACATAAAGACGTGGGCATACTGTTGTAATTGGATTGCGTTTAGGTAATTTGGCAGCTACTTCATATGACATTTTGGATTTATTTCATAAAAAATGTGAAGACCTATTATGATAGGAGAATGTTTGTACAGTATCTTGTACAATGACGCTACAAACCTCATGCAGTGTAATCAAGCCTATCTCAAATCACTTTTTAGATCTTGACCTTTATGTTCACTTTTCAAATTACCATTTTATGATTTATAGATTTAAATTCTTTTTTTTACCATTGCTAGTTTGCTTGGATGTTCTGAAGATAAATCTTGAACATGTTCATTACTATTCATTACTACTATTATAAAGAACATGTACAATTTTGTAAAAATACTTCTTTGACTAGTTTTATTTAATAGGAATGTTTCTGACATCTGATAGTTGACTACATTATTTTGATGATTTTTAATTGCAGATGTTCCTTTATTTTGGTGAGCATGGCATAGCAACATGCTCTGCTGATCACCTTATTATTCTATGGAAAGATGGAGAACAAGAGTCAAGACTGCGCAGCTTAATATTATTTCATAAGTTGGAACAAATTGAAGATTTGCGCTTAAGGTCTGAGATGAAATAATGTATAAACTACAAATAGGCTATTTATATTAAATATTTAAAATAAATGGGTATAATTTTATGTTTGTTTTAAAAAATATATTTAAGGGGTGTTTTTTCTTACTGAATTTGCCATAAATTTAGATAATTGGGCATTGGTGCTTACCTAACACGTCCTTTCTCAGGACGGTGGAGACAGCAGCCATGCATGGGTTAACTCCATCAGTATCCAATAGGACTGAGTGTACAAAATGTGACATCATAGCTCCCGAGGTAGCTCCTCCCGCTTTTGACGAAGATGAGTAGAATGAGTGTTGGTGCTTACATGATACGCCCTTTCTCAGGACGGTGGAGACAGCAGCCGTCCCCACCCTGATGCTTCGTGTGGACCTAGCCTCAATATATAGTCAATAGGAGAGAGGACACTCTATCTAGATCACATACAACACAGCAGTCTACTACTCAACTTCATCAAAAGTGGGACGAATGTGGGGTCCAGCTGGAGAACGAATGTATCTGACTGAAACACACAGATTGTCTCTGATAGAAAGGATCGCCAATTCCGAGATTCGCCTCGCTAAGGTGACCATGACTAGAAAGGTCACCTTCAGTGGGAGATGTAGCAAAATTGACCTCAAGGGTTCGAATCGAGGTTTGGTGAGAAAGTCAAGGACCCTAGCAAAATCGCACGTAGGGAATCTATGTGTAACAGGAGGGCTGAAGTTGGTCTCGCCCTTGTACATGTGGGTGCAAGGATAGTGGTTAGGAAGGACGGAGGGTGAGGACTGAAGAGAGGGCCACTATGTGGCATCTGAGCGTGTTTGGTGAAAGTCCCTTATCTTGTCCAAATTGTAAGAATTTGAGGATGTTGGCGATGGAAGCCCTGAGAGGAATAATGTCCCTTTGATTGTACCAGGTTTAAAGGTCAACCAAGTGGCATCATAAATCTTATTAATGGAGGGGCATCGAGATGCCTGGATTGTCTGAATAACCTTATCAGATAGGCTTGCAGCTCTTAAGGCCACCCGCTCAATCTCCAGGCGGTTAGTCGCAACCATTGAAGGTTGGGATGGTGGATTGACCCCTGATGGAGAAGTGATTTTGACAATGGGAGTCGCCACGATGGGCCCACTGATAAGTTCACCAAGTCTGTGAACCAAGGCCGGCGCGTCCAGTGGGGGACAAGGAGTAGAAGTTCCGCCTCCTCCTCTAGCATCTTGCGTATGACCCTCTGGATCAGTGGGAAGGGAGGGAAGGCGTATAGGAGCCCAGGGCGCCATCTGCACCACTGTGCATCTGTTCCTTCTGACCCTGGTGTCGCTTAACACATGCAATACCTCAACGGTTATTGAACTATGTGGTGAAGAGGTCTAGTACTGGAACTCTGTACCTTCTGGTCAGCTGCGTGAAGATGCGACTGTTCAGGCTCCACTCCGCAGGATCGATCAGCGTGCGACTCAGCCAGTCCGCCCGTGTGTTCCCTGTGCCTGAAATATGCTCTGCACGAACGGAGAGTAGGTTGGTCTCTGCCCAAAGTCTCATGCGAAAGGCTGACTCAATGAGCAAGACAGCCCTTGGCGATTGACATGCGCTTTCGCAGTTGTATTGACCGTTAGAATCAAAACGTGGATGTTGCGCACTGAAAGTGAAGAAGGGCGAGATGGATGGCCCTCAACTCCAGCCAATTTATGCTGTGAGTTTGGTCGGTGTGGGACCACAGACCCTGGGCCACCTGAGAGTTCAGGTGAGCACCCCACCTGCTCAGGCTAGCATTGGTCATGAACGTGAGATGCTGGGGTTCCCTGAAGAGAGACCCCTGGGCAATGGTCGGGAGCACCCAGCACTCCAGTGGTTTGACCATTTCTGGAGTCATTCTTACTTTTACAGAGGAGCAGCTGCTTTGTCTTTTGATAGCTTTTTTAGAAGGTACCTCGAGCACCTTGAACAGCTCTGGTCTGACATTGTAGAGACGTTTGTCCAGGGTGTTTGGGAGAGGGCCTGTACCTGGGGATACCCACTGATTCTGGACCACATCAAGGAATAGCCTGGGTGAAGGTATCATGTCCTTCTCCACCTTGGAGAAGAGGGGGTCTGTGGTGTCAGTCTTGTTAGGATCAGCTCCCTGGGATGACTTAGGAGCAGGAATACCAGGTATCTTCTTAGCCTTAAAGAGAAGAGAGTGAAAAATAAGCAGGTTACGGAGGCCCACAAAAGTAGGTGAGTCTGCCACCAACAAATCCGAGTCCCTAGTTGGACATTCCTCCTCTCCAAAGACTAATGGCTGGGTAGACAAGCCAGGAATCTCACACGACAAAGAGGCGGAACTGTCTCTGCCCCTGCAATGCTTGCTGGAACCGGAGGAAGTCCTGTGTAGAGTAGAATGGGAAGAAGATTTATGCTGGAGGCCTGCTGCAATGCCTCTTTCGATGGCATCTGATATGATGGTTGCCATATCGGGGGTATATGAGTGAGACTGGAATGGAGGGCTCCCAGAATCTTGGGATAAGAGGTCTGGTTCCGGAGTAGGGCTCTGATCCTCCCCAGACCCATCCTCACTGATTTTAAATTCCACTAGGCCCCTAGCGACCTCCGGGTGAAGAGGAAAAGCAGGAGGGGAAAAGGCCTCATCAGAATCTGAAGATAAGATGACTGGGGGACTAGCCTCAAGCACCCTTTGGGACTGGAAAGTATGAAGGGAAACTCTGTTCTTTGATTTGTCCTTTGATTTGTCCTTGGCCGCCTTTGAGCGGCCCTGGCCTTACGGAAAGAAGCCAGCTTGGATACCTTAGCTGGATGCCCAGTGGAAGAGGGATCAGGAGCTGCCCGTTTCTTTGAAGCCCTGGTCCCAGATGGGCCTGCTGTGGGGTTTGGAGATCTAACTGAGACTGAGGGCACTGGGGGTTCCTGGCCAGGAAGAGAAGCCATGGCCTTTACTCACGTCACCTCCAGGCTCCCAAAATGGCCACCGCAACCTTTCTCGCTCAAAGAAAATGGCCGCTGAGGCAACCCAAGCCTCGTAGAGCTAGGAGGAGCGGCAGGGACCAAACGGCCATTGGTGGCAAGTGGCAGCATTGGTGGTAGCTCTGGCAGCGGCCCCTGACACCAAGGGTTACGTTGCAGAAGCCGCTGGCGGCGTCCCACAATGAGGGAGATACCACTGGTCTCTGCAGCGGTGGGCAGCAGGGAGATCAAAGCCACAGCCACGGCAGTTGCGCTAGTGGGAAAGCGACTGTGGCTTAAAGGGCCGTTGCCTGTAGCTGAGCTTCAATCAGCGTCGTGTGGCAGCGGAGCCTTTTAAGGCTACTGCGATGGAATTGAGGTGACGGAAAAGGTGATCCAATCCTAGGCAAGGCAGCAGAGTTACCTCATGGGCCTGCCAGCAGCTAGGGTTGCTGCGGAGCACTGGTGCCCTGCTTGCCACCTGCAGGAGCACAATTACCTTGCCACTAGGTCCTCCTGCCTTGCAAAGTCCAATAGAGGCAGGGAGAAATTTTAGTTGAAGGTTTTAGTCTGAATTGAGAAGTTTAAAACTATTTAATTGTCCAAAATTGGAGGAGAGAGCAAGAAGTACAGCCAGCCCAAGATTGACTGAGTCTCAAAAGTGGGAGGAGCTACCTCAGGAGCTATGACGTCACATTTTGTAGACTTAGTCCTATTGGATACTTACGGAGTTAATCCATGCATGGCTGCTGTCTCCACCAACTTTGGAGAAGAGGATCCAGCATTGTTAGTTTCTACACAGAAACTGAATTTTGGTAAACAGACCATTCTGTTCAGCCATGACTTAATCAGGGACATTGCCAAATTTTGGATTTTTCACTCAATAAATGCACCAAGGTTCTTATGGTGCCTTCAAACAGTTCTTCACATTTCCCTAAGGGCAGGTGAAACAAACACAAATCTACAGCCCTTTGCCAGATCCCAGGAAAAGCAAAATTTCATTTAAGGAACAACAGGCAGCTGGTGTATGAGTATCCTTACATATCCCAAAGCACCCTTTTGACTGAATCCAGATTGCTGTACAGCCCTATTAAACATAAGATATTAGAATGGCATATTTTCTTGCCAAGAAATAGCATTTGATGATAGATAATAGAAGCAATCAATTGGAATTTCATTTTGAAGATCTTGCTTTGCTCTAATTTAACATACAACATAATAAATACACTTACTATGGTTTTATGCCAAATGTTGAGGTTTCTGTGATAACTTATATTTATGAGTTTGAAGAATCCTCTCGGTCAGGAAGTAACAGTTTAGAATCTATGGATTGTCAAGCTATTCTTTCCCCATATACTATCAGGGGTTAAACTGAATGTTGGGGCAGATTTCTAAAGAGAATTGAGCTTTAGAAATATGTTGCAGATTTGTAGAAAATAAATCTTTTAGGCAAAGAATTTCACTGAATGATTTGCCAGCTCAAATATTTTGACAAAACAGTGTAATCTATATTTGTTCTTCAAAATCTACATTATATAGAACAGTTTGTGAACAAAAAAGTTATTGTGCAAATCGATAGCAATCTGCTGAAACATACAGGTTCAAAGCCAATTCTTATGAGGAATTCTGCACGTCAAAATTCTTTGTTAACACCTGCAAGTAACACAGAAGTGGAGAATTTTTGAAAGTTGAGGCTTTTGTTATATGAGGCATATTTTACAGTATTGTTGTCTTCATTGCTTATTATGTTGTGATTGATAAACTGAATAGTGTACATGAAGAAGAATAAAATTTGGGAATGTATATAAAGATTTGAACTTTTATTTCATAAGCAAGAGCAGCTATTGAGCAGGGTTAATACAGAACACTCCCAGTGAAAGCAAAACGTGATCTTCTATTCCCCCCCCCCCCTTCTCCCCAACACATACACACACCCTTGGAGAAAAAGGGCCTTTATTACTTCCAACATATTTCACTGTTTTGGACAACATCCCCTGCCAATTTTTTTCTGAAGCAATTGGAAAATGGAAGGTTCTCCTCTGGGATCAAATCCATTCCAAATAAAAATGGCAACTAAGGCAATATGAAAAAAAATAATTAAAATTCAGTTTTATATATAGGCTTCGATAGAAATAAATAGCAATGACGAATTAAACAGAAAATACAAAGTTTTTAAACACAATATAGCATTTTAATACATAGCAACCAGAGTTAGATTCTATTACATTTTTAACAAAAATATAGCTTTTGTTCATTTCTCAGCATGGGAATTATGAGAGTATAATACAATTTTACATAACTTGATACAAAACATTGAAAAATGTTGGCACATTCTTTAAGCTACAATCATTGTCATTTTTCAGTTCACCTGTTTTATTTTCTCTGACTATACAGAAGAGAATCAGATTTCTTTTTGATGGGCAGTATACTACTCTACTTTAAATGTCAATTTTTCTACAGCTTCCTATAAAGCACAATATAAATAATTAGTGAAATAGAATATTTGAGTAATGACCTAGTAAGTGAAGATTGTCTAAGCTCATGAGCTTATTTAAAGAATGCTTCCATTTTAATGAAAACTAGAAGTCAGGGTAATTTTAAAAAACTCAATTTGTTAGGAATAACTCCTGTGTGATCTCAATTTAAATCAATGGCAGTTGTGTAAAAGCATAGGTTTCATTCATTGTCCAGTGCAAGGCCCCATCACACTTTTCCACTATGTTTAAAGTAAATGTAAAAATATTTGTGCTTTGGCACCTAATGTAAAAACTTCATACTTGAATGAGAAAGTTACATTCAGTACATGAACCACATCATTAGGGTTATATTATTTTAGTTTTTTAAGTAAAGGGTTTTAATATTAGGGGTTTCAGCATTCAGCATATAAGTGGCTTATGTTCTTAACACTAAAGTCTTTAGAGTAATTGCTATGGCTGCAATCCAGGACATCAAGGCACTGGGGTTTCCTACCCCTCATAGAGGGATGAGCATCCATTTCCCTTCTCTAAGAAAGAGGGTTGGAGGCCTTTGTATAGGTGTCAATTCTGGAGATTTTCTATTAATAAGTCTCATATATTACATAATATATAAGCAGGATTTGTTTTATTTACGGCTCATGTATATAAAGCATCTGTCACTTTCTGCTCATAGGATCTGTACCAGCAATTCCTCTTCTAAGCATGTAGATGAAATCTGGAACTGTACAACATCATAGAGCATGACATATTGTGGCAGATGCAAAGAAATGTTTTAAGATGGAGTGCTAGTTGTTCATTTTACTACTTGTCTAGACTTTCATATATGGCTGATGTTACCTATTAAAAGGCAGAGAAAACTATGGGTTTGTTTAATTTGTGAATTTATATCAACTACAATTTTCTAAAAGATTAGTTAACAAGCAAAACACAGACAAGGATTTCTTGTTGTAAAAATCACAGTGTGCAGCAAGTCCCCACTGTAACAAAGGGCCAGTGAGGGAGCTAGCTCTGTGCATACAAACTTGCCCCTGATAATGAAACCTGCTGGGAAGCCTGCATAGGGAGGAGGGCTCCACGCATAGACAGGCTTGAATCACAGTAATCGTAAATGTATAAATGAGAACAAAGTCTGACAGATCAGCAATTACATTAAGAAATGATTTCTCATTCAGTGGGGTCAACACATATGCTTTTTTGCTCTACTAATTGGAAGCAAGCAAGCAAATGGGTCCTTTTAAGACTGACTAGCTATCTGAAGGTAGAGCTCTGGCTCCCATGGCTGTGGCAGGAGGAAACACAGAGATCTGCAGTAGATCCTGGAAGTCGATAGAATGGGAAATGAGATACCACCATGTTTGAAATATTAGGGTCTCTGGATGAATTGTTCTCAGTGTCAAAAACGTGACAAGTGTATAATTAATATATATACTTGCTATGAACAAGGCTTTTGTAAAATAAACTTTAAATTAAATACTGTTCATAAATTTTTCAAAGAAGCTATTTTTCTTGCTTTACAATTGATTTTGGCTAATAAATTAAATATCATTTGACAAATTACAACCATTTTATAAAACCACCCTTAAAAGGATCTATTATTCCACAAAAAAAAAAGGATAGCGTTTATAAACCATTTCTTGTCTCTAAATTATGTCCTTTATTTTTTAAAAAAGCCCACAGTTTTATAGAATTTTGAACTATTTAAAATTGAGAAACAATATTTTTCTCCACATTTCCCAGTTGGTTACTTCATTGTGAAGGAAATTCAACCCTTCTTGGGTCCATACCAGTATATGGTTCACAGTGTATGTGGTAGGCTCTGATCTTTCTTTTGTCCTCTTCAGCTTCCAAGGTTATTCTCTGAAGGGAGACGAAGGCTCCTACACTTTGATTCATCTAATTTTTTCCAGTGTTTGTAGTTATTTGCTAGGTGTTGCATCAGACCAGGTAGATATGCAAATGCTGAGAGATACAGAGGGGTGGGGTGGGGAAAGCAATGCCATACTTGTTTTAAAAGCATGAACAATTTCTGCATTCTTTCAGCCTTTGTATATTTAGTATCAATTGTTAGTGTCAATTGTTAATATACAAACAATCATTTTATATGCCTAGCAGTAGCACAACCATATAACTTAGCCCTTCAAAATTTTTCCTCCCTCAAGTACCTTACAACAGAATGTGGGATATCATTTCCAGTTTAGAACTTAATAACTTTTTTGCACATGTTCATTAACAAATCTATTCTATCAAACTCCCCCCCCCCTTTATTCTCTTGCTAGAACAACTGTGTCTGGCTAGGAAACAACCTTTAGGCTCTAAATAACAGAAAGGACAAGGATATCCTTTAACACATGAAACCCGTTGGCAAAACAATAAAAAATGCATTGCTTAAAACAGAAGAGGAAAAATGAAAATTCTTACCATCCCAAGCATCAAACATGTCCATTATAAAGTAATCAATGAAAGATATCTGAGACTTGGGGATGCTGCAGGTATTTCGATCAAATACAGGCATCACAACTGGTAGGCCCTGCTTCTTTTCTTCATCAGTCTGTGGGGGAAATTTTTCAACTTTACAACCAGGATGAAAATTACAAAAGCAGACCAATGGTCCATTTTATAATTAATTATTGAGATTAAACTTATCTAGCAAAGAAAACGTCTATAACTCAGAGTTTATTGGCAACTGAAAACGTAACCCTAAATGAAACTAGATCTACAGTCTATTTTTTATAAGGGGAAGTGTTAAATCATTGTCTATTTTTACCAAACTGTACCCTAAAAAAACAAGACATATAACAGATGTGCATGAAAAGTAGCATTTCACTTCTTATTTAGAATTATTTTACTGTTTCTTTTCTCACACAATTCATATCAAGATCAGAATTTGTTTTGTCAGCATTTAACATGGTAGGAGCTGACGGTATTGTTCTGGCACAGTGGTGGGATTCAATTTTTTTTACTACCAAGGGAAAGGATACTGTAAAATCTCCATTCCCACCGAATCAGCTGGGGCTCAGGAGGCAGAGAATAGATGGAGGTGGTAATTATCGGTCTCCAAACTTCTCAAAATTTCCTCTACCAGTGCTCCAGAACTGGTCAGAACCTGCTGAATACCACCTCTGCTCTGGCATTAGAGTCTATCTCTTACAAGACAATTGAGAAATAGATTGTCCATTTTAACAAATATGTAAGCAGAGCACCATACAAATGGAATTAAATTAAATTAAATTAAACTAAAAATTAAATTAAAAACTTGGGGAATGGGAAATAGTTGTTCAGTAAAGAGAATAAAATTATTACATTAAGATTTTTATACATAAGCATTAGATTTTAGAAGGACTAAAACATTTCTTTGATTTTCTAACAACAGTAAATTCATACCTGGGCAAAATATTCTTCAGAAATTCTCCCAGCCCATTCAATGCACAATTCTAGAGGACGACATGGATTTGCAACATCTGCACATTTTATCATCATGCGCTTGATCAGTGTTTGGTTATCTGGAAAGTTCTTGAGACTGTTTGGGTATTCACAATCACCACTATCATTCTGGAAAATGGTTATTCATAATGTCAGTTGGCATTACCACTCATAGTCACTATATAATGTTATAATACTCTATGCACCATAAGGAAAACTACATAGTCACTTGGTTTTGGCTGGAATTCAAGAGATTTGAGCAAGGTGAAGAAGTTGCTTTCTTACTTAGACTTAATCATTTGTTAAATGAAATATTTTTCATTGCTTTTTGGGCCAGGGTGGTGGGTTGTATGTTATTGTACAATCCTCAGAAAACTGATTATTTGGTAGTCTGAGAATTCAGTCAAGGTTGTTAGAGAAATATTGTAAACCTCAAATTATAGTAATATGATGACAATAAATCAACCAAAATAGAGATAAGGGATTCCTGTTTAGATGTGTCTGTCTTTGGCCACCGATTTATTCTATATCTTTATCTCACTATACAATAAACACATTTGTGTCAAGTGTCACAACATCTTGAAGCATTTTTAATAATAGAATATTAGCTGCCTATACTACACTGATTTCATTGAACCCATTTATTTTTGTATATGCATTGGCTCATATCTGTTAACTATAGAAAAATTAAAAAGCCTATTTGAAATTATGCTGTGTAAAACTCCAAAATATAACACAATTTGATTTGGTGATACCTGAGCACAGCATCCCTTAAGAGCTTCATTTTGAGACAAATTAGTCTCCATACTAGTAATTGTGAAGTAAAGAATGCAAGTTCCTTCTCTTCACCTTACTTAAACTAGTTCCTATGTGCCAACTACCCCACCCCCTGCAAAGGAAAACCAGTGTTGGAACTGGTGATCAAAACTTCAATTATACAAAGTGCAAAGTATTATAAAAACAATGTAATAATATATTTTATAATATAATCAAAACAAAAGTATAAAAAGCCATAGATTTTCATTATACTGTATAGCAATAGCATTTAGACTTGCATACTGCCCCATAGCGCTGTAAAGCACTCTCTGGACACTTCACAATGTAAGCATTATTTGTATGTAGCCCCCAACAAATCTGGGTCCTCATTTTACTGGCCTCGGAAGGATGGAAAGCTGAGTCATCCTTGAGCCCCATCAGGATCAAACTCCAGGCTGTGGGCAGAATTTGCCTGCAATACTGCACCTTAATCACAGCCTCACCAGTGCTCTTGTATTTAGCACCTAATGCATAAGAACTAAGTATGCTGGCTTGGGAATTCTCGACTTGAAGTCCGCAGATCTTAAAGTTGCCAAGGTTGAGCATTACTGGTGTAGATATAGGTGAGTCCAATATGAAAAATATTGTAAAAAATATTTATTGCTAATTTTCCTCTAGCCCTTTGTATATTTTTAGAAATCTTTCCACATGGATATTTTTATTAATACAGTTATGAAAGTAGCTCTCCCAATATTCCTCTCCCAAGGAATATAAAATTATCATTTTGCCTGTAAATCTGAAATCTCTATGCCTTCTTTATTACATGTGAACAGATACATATTTAAAAGAATGTAGTGTTGGAGTTACTCTAAATAAAATCTTAGATCTATACACATTGCTAAATTCCCACAAATACCAATTTTCAATTAAGGGTGCTTATATTTATGTATTCAGTGATGCCACCATTCATAGAAAAGAAAGGATTAGCAGAATCAGAGAAACACTATGGTTTACAAAAGAACTAAACAAAACGTTAGGCTCAGCATTTTCAGCATTAAATGAATGCTACCTGACTACAGAGAACTTTCAAAACCAAAGGCTCTGGTTTGGCTTTGAATTTTCAATGAAGATTGGCAGGGATGGAATGGGGTAAAGTAGCTGTAGACCAACTTCAAATCATTGCAGAATGTAACATTTTATTGCATCAGCTTATTTCCTGGACCACAATGTAAACGCCTTATGTAGCAACACTTCACTGAAAGCTCTTTTAAGAACCACAGCCAGCCAGAACTGCTTGCGGGAACCAATCTTCCAATTTATCCTGAGTTAAACTGATTATGACTATTTTGTATGTATTGTTCACAAAGCCTTGATACATGATTATTAATAATTTCCATATTACTCATAGTCTTTCCATTTTAATAAAACCCTCAAAATTGTGAAGAAGCGTGCATTACATTAATAATTCAAAATACAAACATTAAAATAACATAAAAATAAAGAAGACTACTCAGGCAAAATTATGGGCACTTATGGTTGAAAATGAAATGCAAATCACCCTTGCTCCCATTAGAATACTGCTGCCATATGAATGAAAGATGACCAAAGCTGAAAAAAGACATCTGATTGAAATGCTTTGGTTTATTCACAAGGTCTGCTGCTTACGTTGCTTTCATCTGAGGGCATGGGCTTGATGATGCTGTTCACAAACTTATTCACATGCTCAAAGTGCTTTGTCATCTCTGTTGCCAAGACCATGTCAATAATTGCTTGACGAAGGGTACGATAATGATTTCTGAAAAGAGAAAGAGCAATCTGAATTCGGTATGGCAGAACTGATTCCTGATTTCCCATGTAGCAGGATAACATTGGCGAATCCATTTTTGACTGTACAGGTATCTCCTTGCAGTGTAACAGTTATGTGTTACTAAAACACGCAATTCGACTGCACTACAAGTGGGCTTTACCTTTTGAGGCCCATGAAAGTAGGTATGGCCAAAGCCAGCAGGTCACAAATTCAACAGTAGGCTTCCTTTGGGGTAGGGCAGCAACCTTAAGCACTCAAAGAGCCATTTGGACCCATTTCCCACAGAAAAGAAAACACCGGAAGCCACAAAATCTGGGTGGGCGTAGCCAACTTGACATCAATCACTCCCACCTAGTCACATTCTTGTGACTTTTCACAAGAAGAGTCATAAAATGGGTCAAAACTCATTTAACAAATTTCTCACTTAGCAACATAAATTCTGGGATCAATTGTGATAATAAGTCGAGGACTACCTGTATACAGATAGTTCTTGATTTACAGCCATTCGTTTAAAGATAGTTGAAAGTTACAACAGCCTTGGAGAAAGTGATTTATGACCTATCCTTCAAGTTATGATTATCATACCACTCCTGCACAATTTAGGCATTTGGGCAATCAGCTCACACTCATGAGATTAAATTACATCCTACAGTCATCCTATGGATCATCATTTGTGATCTTCTCTGCCAGCTTCCACTGAGCAACATCAGTTGGAAAGGCCAGATTCACTTAAAGATCAGGTGATTCACTTAATCAGAGTGATTTTCTTAATCACCATGGTAAAATGATTGCAAAATCAGGTCCAGTCATGTAATGACTTGCCTAATGACGACACTGCTTGGTGACCAAAACCCCAATTCCAATCATGATTGTAAATTGTGAACTAGTACTTTTCCATAGTTGTTAGAAATATATTTTCATATTAACACATTACATTGCAAGGTATTTAATACACACTTTATGCAAACATACAGTAAATCTCCACAACAAAAAGAGTTCTGAGAGAGAGAGATAAATGTGAATTTCATTTGAAATCACATTTTTCAGATTTGGATATTCTGGTGAACTGATATTCATGAATCAGTTTGCTATATTACATATGGTGACTAATGAAGAAGACTAAATTTACACACTACACAGAGATCCAAGCCCTATTCCCAGGCTCAAATCCAAGAAATTTTTTGAAGAACCTAACCTGTTGAGATTTTTAAAAATGTTGCACTTGTTGTCTTTTGTTGTCAGCTGGAAGGCCAGAGCTGTGTGATGGCTTTCTAAGACAGCAGTGTCATTGTAGAGAACAGCCAGTTCACTGCCTGCATTGCACAGAAAAGAATTGGTCCGTCCTGGATGATCCACGTCATGAATTGTTGCCGCTATTAATGCAGCCACTTGGTCTAAATGATCAAGGCTTCCCTAGAAGGAAAAATTAAGTCTTTATCAGTTAAAATGTGTCAATTAATAATAAATTTGCATTCATATACGAATTCATGTAGGCAATATACATGTTTTTTTCAGTAACATTTCCCTGCGATTCTTCATTGGTTTACCTATTCTTGTAAATGCAATGATTAGGAAAATGCAGACTCAATTATGTGAAATGCAAAGTCACATTCCAGAAATATTTGGGGGGGGGGTGGCTCCAAAAAAATCAAGGTGGCAGACATAATGCTACAGATGAAGCTCCATCTCTTTTGTACGTGTATCCCAGACTCCTCTGGCTACACATCTGCCTTACAGCAGATGGAAACACCAAGTTAATCCTACTGTGTTAAAAAAAATAAGTAGGATTGGATGCTGTTTTATAGTGATTTTTTTCCTTATTCAGTGAAAGAATCTGAATTTATAATTTGAGAAAGGCTTTGTTAGGGTGCTTACAGGCAAGCCTTTTGTTGTGTTGTTGCCCGATCCAATTCTCAAACAGTTTGATCATGGTAGGGAGAAATCCATTATTTTTGTCCATTTGTAACCTCCTCTTATTTTTCTCTTAACTTCCATCTTTTATTTTACCAGAGACAATCAGTTAGGAAAGGAAAGATGGATGCCTTTTCCTCAGCATGTAATCTAAATGTACCTTTCTGTGATTTTCAAATCACTGCTTCTTGACTCATCTTTCTTTCTTATAAAATGAACTTGTTAATAATACTTGAACAGGAATAGACAATCATCAGCACAAGCTGTACCTTAACTCTTTCTTTCCCCAGAAAAAATGCTGTAGCATGCAGAACATCTGCTGCATGAGTAGAGTTATGGTAAGAATTGGAGGAGTGGTAGTTTGCTTCAATAACTTGGAACCATGAGCGCAGTGTGGTTTCTGAACAGTTTAAGAATTCACAGACGCCAAAACGGGAAAAAGTTTTCAAACCCAGGTAAACTAATGGCCTGGAACATAACAAGAGAAGAATGAAGAAACAAGGTCACTCATCACTGAACGTCTTATGTTTATAGACTTTGGTTACTAATAGTTTAACTTTATTAGATAAACTACAGGTAGAACTCAACTTACAACAGTTTGTTTAGTGTCCGTTTGAAGTTATAATGGCATTGAAAAAAGTGACTAATGGCTGCTTTTCACAGTTAGACCGTTGCGCCATTTCCATGGTCACATGATCACAATTTGGATGTTTTGGCAACTCATATTTATGATGGTTGCAGTGTCCCGGGGTCATGTGATCACCTTTTGTGATCTTCTGACAAGCAAAATCAATGGGGAAGCCTGATTCATTTAACAACTAACTGTTACTAACTGTTACTAACTTAACAACAAAAGTGATTCACTTAACAACTGTGACAAGAAAGATAATAAAAGGGACCAAATCTTACTTAACAACTGTCTCACTTAGCAAAATAAATTTTGGGCTCAATTGTGGTTGTAAGTTGTGGTTGTGACCTGTCTACCACCACTTTTGCTTCATTATAAATAGAGGCACAGGGTCCCATTTCCTCAAAGATAACCAACTAAATGACAGCTGAAAGAAATTCAGAAGGGAGACTAAAGTAAAGAAATAAAGGCCCAAATTGCAAAACAGTCTGTAATAGGTAACTGTCATGGCTCTGTCAGTTCCCAGTTTGGAGGAGGAAGAGGAGCTGGAACTGGGAAACTTTGGTTTGGTTTTATTGGATTTATATGCCACCCTTCTCGCAAATGACTCAGGGTGGCGTACAATGTAAAAACACATATGACAAAAGTTAAAAAAAAGATTAAATAAGAAATCCAATAACCTTCAATTGACAATTTAAATCAAATTTAGGATTAAATTAAAATTAACAATTTAAAATTAACAATTAATTTATTCTATTCAGGCCAGGTCGGCTTGCTGAAAAAGCCAACTTTTTAGGGCACGCTGGAAGGACCGGAGGTCGGGGATTATGCGAAGCTCCGGGGGCAGCTCATTCCAAAGGGAAGGCTCTCCCCCTGGGGGTCATCAGCTGATACTGCCTGGCCGATGGCATTGGAGGAAGTAGTCGACTGGATGGGGAGCTGCCTGCTTTCACAAATGCAGGGGAGGATCGGCTACAGACGATCAGTGGTGATGAGGGACAACAGGTCCTTACTGACAAGGAAAAGCTGCTTCCCCACCTGATTCACTGTCATGGAGAGGGAAGTGGAGGGAAGCTCAGAGAAGGTCTGTGAGGCTGCTCGTGAGGAGGCTGCCTTGCCCCTCCTCACAAGGAACACCTGGCACAAGGTGATTTAACCAGAGGTCAGGGGAGAGTGTATTTGTTGGGAACAATCATTTGTCTCAGCATGCATTCCCATGACTTTTGGAAACCTCGACTCATAGACTTTGACTCGCGTTTCAACCTTAGGATTTACATACCTTGCTTTGCGGACACTGACTAGATTGTGGTTTAAGGACCTTGTTTTGCAAACTGTGCACCTAGTTTGTGGACCTTCAACTTTCTTCTTGAAAATGGCCTCCCCCAGGTTCCGGAGGCCCCCCAGAGACCGGAAACGGGCCCATTTCTGGACTTCCGGAACCTCCAGGAGGCTTGTTTTTCACCCTCTCAGAGCCTCTGCGTGGACCCTGCACTTACCTGGCATCCAAAATGGGCTGCATGGAGACTCCTGGGAGGAGTGAGGTAGGGTGGGATGGGCAGGGCCACCATGTCCTTGCAACTACTGGTTCGGCTAAGCAGATGTAAAATTAGCATGTGGTTTGCCCAAACAGTATCAAACCGGCTGAATCCCATCCCTGGCCTTCTGTCATGGTTTATGTTAGATCAGCGAGAAACAGCAGACGAGAGGCGTGAGTTTCAGCACTTTTTATTGCAAGAGTAAGTGACTGCAGTCTGCCCACTGGGCTGCTGGAGCTCGCCTTTTAAGGAGCTCTGGCAGACCAGCCACCCAATGACAATAGTTTAAACTTCCCGGGGTTTGGGCAACCAATCCCTGATGAGCATGTGAAAACATGTAAATTAAGGAGCTCTGGCAGCCCATCTGGTCAATGGCAGTTGTTTAAACTTCCCGGGGTTTGGACAACCAATCCCCGGATGTGAAAACATGTAAATTTAACAATGTCCGGCCTGCCGTAACAGTTTAGTAGTGCAATAAAAGACTTTATTGAGGCATTTGCCTATGCAAACTGGGTCAGCACAGTGACACAGCCAAATAATCCACACAAATTTCATTTATGACAAACTGCCTGCAACTTCTATTTTTATTCATCTAATGAACATAGATATAAAGCTTGCCTTTTATTTGTAACAGCTTCCAGTTCAAAAATGTTAAAGTCCCAGCTCTCTTCATTATCCAATAAGTTTGCAATGCAGGGCGGAGCATCACTGATAGTGACTGGCACTGAATGGCTCTGGTTCATATCTGTACAAATGGGGAACAGGCAGGTTATGAGTCTGTAAGCATGCGCCCAATTGAAAAACCCTTAATAAAAAGGAAGTCTCAAGGCTAAGCTGGAGATATTAGCAAGCTTAAACAGGGTGAAGCCCCATGCCTCTGGAAAGATATGGAAAACATACATGTAAAATTAGGCTGCTGGAAAGGAGTGCCTTACCTTCTTATATTGTTATATTCAACATTGTATCTTAACCAGGGGTATCTTACCCCCTGAGCAGGGCTTTGAACTAGAAACCTCCTAAGTCCCTTCCAAATCTGTTATTCTGTTATTTCTTGTATTACAGCAGAACAAACTTAATGAATATTTTCTGTCTGCACTACAAGTAGTCTGAAGTGATAAAAAGGGATAAACTGATCTTTCCAAATGTTGTGTGAAAACCTATTACATCTAAACTCTTTATGGACCAAATTCAATATATAATTAATGAAATAAATTAAGACAATTAGAGTTTTGTATTCCTGATTTTTTTCAGCAAAAGCATTTTTTTCTGCAATATTAACACAAATAAACAAATAAAAAGAGAGTTTAACATAGAACTTACTTTTAGAAAAGACATACTCATTTCCTGACAGTTTTTTCAAGCCATCCTGAAATAATGAAAAGAAGAAAAGCATTCTATATACGAAGAGAAAAAAGATGCAATTACATTTCAATAAATATAATTTATTATAAATATCAAACAGCAAGTTAGTGACATTGCTAATAGATACTACATGAATATAAATGTTAAAAATAATCATAAAAGTGTCTATATGTCTATATAAATGTTCTACATAAGCTGCAAAAAAATAACTGAAAATGCAGTGCAACCTGATTCCTATCCATTATCTAATAAGTACTGTTTTATTTGTTCAAGGTCTACTAAAGTAGGTAGCGAGTTTTCAATTAAAAATGAGAAGATAACAACCAATCTCTTCTACCACACTTTCCAGCATTCATAAAAGTAAGATGTGGGTTTACAGAATTTTCATCATAAACCTCAGCTTATGGGTTTCATGAAAGGCTGTTGAATTGAATTGAATTTATTGCATTTATATGTTCTTATGATTAGTCTAGAAGAGGTCTTTCATAACATTCTATTCCCCTTATGGCCAAGAATCTAGAACTGTTTTTCTTGCCATGTCTAAACTCCTTGCTTTTATACATTTCTTTTTAGTATGTTTTTAATGGTTAAGAAGTACAGCAAAAGGACCCCTGATGACGATAACCTGTTTGGATTCCAGCCAGGGTTGGGTTCTGGCAGTCACTACTGCCGGTTCACTTGTGGCTGCCCCGCGCATGCCCGCACAGTTAATAAAAATTGTTCTGCCCATGCGCAGAAGCAAAAGACAAGCCACCAATTTTATAGTGAAACTGATGATGTGATTTATGTCTCTTTACTCTTTTGAGCCAAGGTGGCGCAGTGGTTAAATGCAGCACTGCAGGCTACTGCTAGATCAGCAGTTCAGCGGTTCAAATCTCACCGGCTCAGGGTTGACTCAGCCTTCCATCCTTCCGAGGTGGGTAAAATGAGGACCCAGATTGTTGGGGGCAATATGCTGACTCTCTGTAAACCGCTTAGAGAGGCCTGATAGGCCTATGAAGCGGTATATAAGTCTACTGCTATTTACTCACAGTCATCAGTCCTCCAACAAGATCACTAGTATGAGGGTCATCATCTTTGGTTCCTAACTGTGGAGAATAAAGTTCTGTTGTTCGTAAGATTTCCAACACTCTATCCAAAGCTTCTGCTACAGTCACCGGACTATTCTCTTGAGCTGAATTGATTATATTAATAACCTGTAGGGTTACAAATGGAAAAGAAATAGCAATGCCATTGTTGATTTCAATCCAGTGTATTTATAAAATCTGTTGGCAATATTGAGTTACCAATATAAAAGAACTATGAACCGAATAAATGAGTTGGCTTTTAAAATGATTAACTAATTCTTCAATCAATTAAATTAAAAAAAATGCATATTTTAAAAATTCACTATACTCACTTTGTACAAAACAACCAACAATTCAGACGTAGAAACACTTATTTATAGTAAATCCCAATATCTCTGGATGACATGAATTGGTATTTCAATAAGTATAATAAAAATGGATGTGCTCATTTTATTTTTTATTTTGCAAAGGATTGTTGATGCATAAAATGATATTGGAAAATCTTTGCCTCATACCTTTGTAATTGGAGCTTCTATTGTCATGGAGTGGATTCTTGCTATAGATGAATATCGATGATTCTGTAAACTTGTTGCTGCATTAAACGGAAAAGAATTAGGCTTTAGAAAAGGCTACTTGAAAATTTTTTAAATGCTACTCTCTTATACATGGTATTATTTTAAATTAGATTGTCCCAAATGATATATTCTTATGTTGCATATATAGATAGTCCTCACCTACTGACTGCTGGTTCAGTCACTGTTCAAAGTTATGATAGTGTTGAAAAAAGAGATTTATGAGCACTCCTTGAAGATGTGGCCTTTGCAGCATCCCTTTGGACATGTGATTGCAATACGGGAATTTGGCAAGCAACGCATATCTATGTCAGTTACAGCATCCTGTGATCATGTGATCATCATTTGCAGCCTTCACTGCCAGAAGCAAAGTCAGGGGAGAAGTCAGCAAGAATTCACAAGTCATGTGATGACTTGCTCAATGACCATGGGTGATCCATTTAAGGACCAGAGTCGAATATCATAGATGAGGCGTAGCAACATGATATTTCACTTTGTATCTGTGTTGCTGAGTAACAGAATTGCTAGTCCTAATTGTGGTCTGTACAAGAGGACTGATTAAAAAGTAAGAAATTGCCTATTTTTCCCGTTGTTTAAACTTATCCCGCCTCTTCCTGCTATTCAATAGCCAAGATAGTTGGGAAAAGATTACAATAAAATATTAAATCAAATGACAATCACTTAAATCATCAATTATAGTTCCATTTAACATAGGGCTCTGAATATTATCTCCCACATATTTCATTTCTTACCATCACTACTTTGAGAAGATATTGATTTAGCATCAATGGATTCTTTCCTTCTGTTCTTGCATCTGAAGGAGTGAGAGTCTATAAATGTTAAAGGAAGGGATTTAAAAAGCTGTAGGATTTATTTTCACAGCCACATTTTTGCCTCTAAATTAAAAGACTGATTTTTAAATTGCCTCCCAGCTACAGATCAGAAATTTAAAAATGAACCCTTCTTCAATTAAATAGGGAAGGATAACAGAAAACAAAGAAACCAACTTCTTTAATTTCCTAATTTTACTACTGCCTTATTATATGGTAAACTTGATTTGATTTAAAGATAAAGTTTTGGAGATGGGAGAGTTCCACAGAGCAGATACAGGCAGTGAGAAGGCATGATTCCAGAGTCCAATGAGATAGCATAGAATAGACCCAGCACATGCCCTCTGTACTAGATCTGGTAAGGTTGTCAGAAACATTAGGAGAAGTAAGTAGTTTGGCCCTATGTCATGTAAGCATAATCTATACCAGGGGTGTCAAATTCAATTTCATTGAGGTCCGCATCAAGACGGTGGTTGACCTTGGGGGGCCGGGCAGGCATGGCTGACTGGGTGGGTGTGGCCAGCTTGACACTGCTCTCCAAATTGCTGGCATGTTTCCTCTTTGCATTGGGTTGTCTGGGCCGAAGCCACACCGGCCCTGGGTAGACCAGGTCAAAGCCATGCTGGTCTGATATTTCTTCTTCACATTGGGTAGACTGGGCCAAAGTGATGCGGGCCATCTTCTTACATTTTCCAGGACGGCCCTGCGGGCTGGATCCAACCACATCGCACGCCGGATTTGGCCCATATGCCTTGTGTTTCACACCCCTGATCTGTACCCTTTAATCAAGGTCAATTTCTTAATTCTATATTCTTCTATTTTCTTGCAATATTATGTCACAAATTATTTTAATGACACATTCTTCCATTTTATTGCATATATTGCAATTTATATTTTTCAATCTAATGAAACATACGTGGACTGAAAAGACTGATTAGCTTAAGGTTCTCTTCATATATAATAGAAGCAGTCTACTAAAGAGTAATAATTTTAGAGTTTAAACTACTTCCAGATTTCAGACAGAACTTCAACTCCAGAAGCAACTACCTCCGCATAAGTGCCATAATATATAAAGCATCCTTCAGCCTAATAGTAAGACTAGTTCTGATTCTTCAAATAATAGAAATACTATTTTCTAACCTGATTGAAACTGATCTCCTGCACACTTTTCATCATCATGTATTCTGTAAGTCTTGTGTTATATGAAAAAGGAAAGACAAAAGAGACATATAAGTTCCCATCCTAATAGCTAGATAAAGACCTGCCACAAAGCGTATTTAGCAGTGACTAGCCCTTAACTTTCTTAATCAAAAACTGTTGAAGGCCACCCAAAACCATTTTTTCAGACAGCTGCAACTTGGAGGTATTCAGGGAATTGACTTTGTCTTCTATCGGCTTTCTTGGTGGGATGTCAAACAGAAAGTTAAGTTATTGTTGGAGGCCAAGAGCTTCCCATCTCTACTATATAGTTTGCTTGTGCTTATATCATAAATCATCTGTTGAACCAGCTGTTATCTCTGTATAGATACCTCCTCATTACATTGGATCTGAATGACTATAACAGTATAATTTGAAATACCACAACTTTCCGCGACAAAACAGAGAAATTTGTATCTCATTAGTGGTATGCAATAAAACATAGGAGAGGCCGCAAAAATAAAAGCAAATCATCTTGCCAACCAGCAAAAGTTCACTGTCTCAAGATCCTTATTATGATAATGTGATTTTACATTTATATTTTAAATAATACATAATTAAAGACTTTGGGAACATCTGGTTGTTAATAAGAAGGCAACAAACAATTGTACAATGGGAAAATCATACCTGTTTATTTCTATCATTGCTGCAACACAGTTTTTTGATAGATACAAAATGTCGAATTTTTCTATGAATATAAAAAGAATCCACTATTATCAAATGCAGTATAAAAAAATCTAGATACAATTAGTTTATTTCAATGCTGTATTTATTACATGGCAGTTATTGAGGTCATTCTATAAAACACCAATAACATAATTGGCACACACTAATATTGGTGTGAGGAAAAAAAGGATCAAGAACACAAGATGATCTTCCAGCAGAATCCTGTACATGTAGAGCACAGGTCTCAAATTCGTGACGTCACATTGTCATCACATGATGTATCACAACTTTTTCCCCCTTTGCTAAAATGGGGGTGGGAGTGGCCAGGACGTGAGGCATCCGGCCTGCGGGCTGCAAGTTTGACACCCCTGATACAGAGCAACTGATTTAACAAAACTCCGTCTAAGGCTTCAACAGAAACTTCCGCCATCTCACTGAATGAGATAAATGGTATTTAAATTGTATAAAGTTTGTAATATGCCTGAGATAATCAAATTCTTAACTTCTAACCGTCATTTTAATTTAGCAAAAGGCATTAGACATTCGAATGATGGAATCCCTTTGCATTGTCAATTTTAATCTTTTGTAAATTCACAGATGAACAGGGATTAGAGTTATCATATACAGTTATCATACCTCACCAAAGTACATCCTTAGTAAAGTGAGCTAAGTATTAAGCATTTACTTATTTAAGTATTAAGTATTCTTGTCATTCTTTCCGATTTTTTTCTGTTTTCCTCTT